CAAAAAGTTCAGTGAAAATTTCGATCCTCATTTTAAATTCATGCTGTGTTTTCCTCCTATATTTTTGAGGTTGCTAAAATTTTCAGACAAAAAATCAGTCCTTATCTACAAACCCAGTCTAAAAATCCATCGTTAATGCTATCCGTAACTGTATTTTATCTATAAATGAGGTATTACTGGAATGAGATATAACTGCCTGACAAGAACTAATTTATGAAAAAAGCAAAATTGCCAGAAAAACCTGAAAAAAAACTCAACACAAACATGGAAACTTACCAGAAGCGGCCATTCCATGAGAGAAAGCGAAACGCTCTAAGGTTGCCAGAGAGGAAAAATGACCATCTAGATAATCCGTAAAGTTCAGCAGCAGTTGTTCACCCTTCATTCGTGTTTCACCTCTGAAACATGCAATATTTCTGTAGAGATATTTCCGATTTCGGGAAAGCACTTGCCAGGCAATCACGATCGCCAAATAAGCTTTTTTTTGCAAGCAGTTTTCGAAAGGGGCGATTTCCAAGTCAGCAATCATCGTGGTCCAGAAGTGACAACGTTTATCAAACTCAATCACAAAACTAAGGACACCTCGAAACGGCTAAAACCTTGCTAAGTGCTCCTGCTTGAAGAACCGCTGAGTTGGTAATCCCTTCGGAAGACTCAATAACTGTTCAGGATCGCTAGCAGGCTGGCCATCAAGCGATACAGCACTGCTGTCAATTGTAAGTATACACAAACTAGACTATAAATTACATCTAATCCAAGTGCAAGTTTCAGTTTTTTATCTTGTCTGATTTACGAAATCGTTTCTCGTCAAAGAAATCTGCGTATTTTTTCGGGGGAGAAGGGTCCATAGACGCGATCCAGGTGCGTATGACCAATGATTTTAAAACGGGAAAGTGGCAAAATGAGAATATGCCTCCAAAATGTTTCAGCCTCTCAGCTTTCCTGTTTGCTGAGTTGAAAGTGGGTGACAAAAAGTATACACTCGCTCCCGAACATACACTTGGACGATCAAAATACGTAAAATGAACATTTGTTCATTTGCATACTCGGATTTCTTCACAAAACTACTGCTCGAGCAATACTTCTACTTTTTAGTGAACTGGAAATTTGCATTTTTTCAAAAAATTTGCATTTCCAATGCTTCAAACATATGCGTGTTGCAACACTCTAAATCTGCACAGCAAAAGCGCACAAAAAGGAAAGTTTCGACTTCTGAACCCAAAGAGATAAGTTATCAGTCTACTAAAACAAATAACAAAAAATTTTACTCCTTGACCATGCGAAAAGATAATGTATCGGTTTCTTCTAGCACCAATGAGGCTGCATATGGTAATTCGGTATATTCGGATAGAATACCCAAAATTTGACTGCGCTAAAATTTGAAAATAATAAATTTCATGTTTTGCCAAATTTTGTTAAATGTTAAATTTTATGTTAAATTTTTATGCAAAATGTTAGATTTTTATAATAAATTTTAACAAATTTAATGTTGAGTAACTGTATGCTAGTTACCTCGATGTGATTAATCCCCCAAAACACGACCACACCATCCGCGAATACAAAAAATTCTTTAATCGCATTCTTGTCGATAATGTATTGTGATTT